AGCGAATACAACTTTTAGGCTTTGAAAAATCTATGAGGGCCTATTTAGTCCAAGGCCTTTTTAAAGATCAATTATCTAATCATCTTTTTCATGAGTGTGCCCCCCCCCCTCCTCCCCCCTCAGAACACATGCCCATGCCCTGATTTTACTGTCTGTCAAAGATACAGACTACTTAAAACATTGCGATCTACAGCACAAGTGACCACCCCTGGCGGGGTGAGGGGGCGGGGGAAAGGGGGAACTCCAATAGGAAAAGGTCGGGGATGCTCGTTGTCTCACTAAGGGGTATAAATCAAGGATTCTGGTCTCATTTAGGGTGTACATGATGAAACGCCACTATTTTTTAGCTGCCAAAGTATCTTTTTTAGGGTGCACTCGATGAAATGATAATAAACAAAGCTCTTATTTCGCCGGTCTCTTGATTCCAGTTCCTTTCCTGAACAGTGGCTAGTAATCAAACCTATTTCGCTTTAACTGGTGTCTCTCAAGGGTTAAATAAAGCTCGCACCACGTTCAGATTTGTCTTCTGAAGGGGTTTTAATTCAATTTTTTTTGTCCTACGAGCATCTCCGACCTTTTCATATGGNCCCCCCCCCCCCCAGAACACATGCCCATGCCCTGATGTTACTGTCTGTGAAAGATACAGACTACTTAAAATGTCACGATCTACAGCACAAGTGACCACCCCTGGCGGGGTGAGGGTGGGGGTGGGGGGAAAGGGGGAACTCCCATAGGAAAAGGTCGGGGATGCTCGTTGTCTCACAAAGGGGTATAAATCAAGGATTCTGGTCTCATTTGGGGTGTACCTGACGAAACGCCACTATTTTGAGCTGCCAAAGTATCTTTTTTAGGGTGCACTTGATGAAATGATAATAAACAACGCTCTTATTTCCGCCGGTCTCTCGATTCCAGTTCCTTTCCTGAACAGTGGCTAGTAATCAAGCCTATTTCGCTTTAACTGGTGTCTCTCAAGGGTTAACTAAAGCTCGCACTACGTTCAGATTTGTCTTCTGAAGGGGTTTTAATTCAATTTTTTTTTGTCCTACGAGCATCTCCGACCTTTTCATATGGGAGTCCACCCCCCCCCCTCCCAGGGGAGGAAGAAAGACGATTATATTTTAGTATTATTACTGAAAGACAGCTGACCGGAGTTGATAGCTACATGCAGTTGTTATAGCAGTCGATGGCTTACGTCCCTTATGTCCAGAGATTTCGTAGCTTGCAACGACCAATAAGCCATTTTACAGTTGCCTGCTCAGTGACCTGGCCTTTGAATGGTAGCGAGGCTGGAGTTGACCTTGCTTTGATACAGAACCCTCTGCTTTTGTCATGTAGATACACCTAGTTAGCATTAGAACAACTTGATTTACACAACAAAAGCAGTGAGGTCTGT